TCAAAACTGAATTCTAAAAAATGTCCAAGGTCCTAAAAGAAGGCAAGTAAACCCCCTACCCCCACCCCCACAAAAACCAAAACAGAAAAACAGGAACAAGAGAGGAAAACTTAAAAATCAAAGTAGAAAAATGACATTATTTAGTCCCAACATGTCAATAACTACTTCAAATTTAAGTGGTCTAATATACCAATTAAAGGACACACTGTCAGATGGTAGGGGAAAAAAGCAGGAGCCCTCTATATGCTACCCACAAAAAAATTACCTAAAATATAAAATATAGGTAGGTTAAAATAAAAGAGATGGACAAAGATAAACCATATAAATAGTAATAAAATCCAGCAGTGGCTATATTAATATTAAAGTATACTTCAGAGCCATGAAAATAAACAGGGACAAAGAGGGATATTAGTTACATAATGATAAAAGGGTCAATACACCAAAAAGATACAGCAATCATACATGTATATGCACCAAACAAGAAAACATTCAAACACACAAAGCAAAAGGTAACAGAACAGAAAGAAATAGACAATTCCAGGGCGCCTGGGTGGCTCAGTTGGTTAAGCGACTGCCTTCGGCTGAGGTCATGATCCTGGAGTCCCGGGATCGAGTCCCGCATCGGGCTCCCTGCTCAGCAGGGAGTCTGCTTCTCCCTTGGACTCTCTCCCCTCTCATGCTCTCTCTCTCTATCTCATTCTCTCTCTCAAATAAATAAATAAAATCTTAAAAAAAAAAAAAAAGAAATAGACAATTCCACAATTCTAGTTGGGGATTTTGACACTCTTTGTTCGGTGATTGATAGAAACACTAGGAAGAAAATCAGCAAGGATAGAGAAAATCTGAGTAACACCAATAACCAGCAGAATCTCACATTTATAGAACACTCCATCCAACAACAGCAGAATATATATCCTTTTTTTTTTTTCCCGGAGTCTTTAACTACCTTCATTTTATTGAGAACGTAGTCAACAGTAAATTATGACTAGTGACTGTGGTTGTTTGCAAATATTTACACGGACGCTGGGAACACCTCTCAGAACTTTTCTGCAAAGACACTGTGCAAACACATCTATATATCTTTTTTTTTTTTAAGATTTTATTTATGTATTTGACAGAGAGAGACATAGCAAGAGAGGGAATACAAGCAGGGGGAGTGGGAGAGGGAGAGGCAGGCCTCCTGCCAAACAGGGATCCCGATGTGGGGCTCGATCCCAGGACCCTGGGATCATAACCTGAGCCGAAGGCAGACGCTCAATGACTGAGACACCCAGGTGCCCCCAAATCTATATATCTTCTTTAAGCGCCCATGGAACATTCAATAAAAATGCTGCTTATGGCTAACCTGTTTGTGGATCATGAAACAAACGTCAACAAATGTAAACATTTTGAAATCACACAGAGCATGTACTTGGACCACATGTGAAACTAAAAATAACAGAAAAAATAATAAAATATTCCAAACACTTAGAAATCAAGGAGCACACTTCTAAATAATCCATGGGTCAGAGAGGGAGTCTCAAATGGAATCAACAAATATTTAAACTGAATGAAAATGAATTCAAAACAAATGAAAGTTTGTGGGATGGAACTTCAACAATGCTGAGAGGGAAATTCATAGAACCAAATGCTCCTTACATTAGAAAAGAAAAAAAAAAACCTTCAAGTTAATAATCTAATCTACCATCTCAAGAAACTACACAGCACTAAATAAAACCAGAAAGAGCAAAAGAAATAAAGATAAGAGAAGAAATTGAGAATAGAAAGAGAGAAAATCAATGATATAAAAAGCTAGTTTGGGGTGCCTGGGTGGCTCAGTCGTTAAGCGTCTGCCTTCGGCTCCAGTCATGATCCCAGGGTCCTGGGATCCAGCCCCACGTCGGGCTCCCTGCTCGGCGGGAAGCCTGCTTCTCCCTCTCCCACTCCCCCTGCTTGTGTTCCCTCTCTCCCTACCTCTCTCTCTGTCAAATAAATAGATAAAATTTTTAAAACAACAACAAGTATCCCAATGATTTCACTGGAGAATTCTACCAAATATTCAAATAAGAAATAACACCAATTCTAAAAAATCTCATTCAGGGGGAAGGGGGAAAAGAGGACAAGAAAGGAAGAAAGAAAAGAACACTTCCCAGTTCATTTTGGGAAGCAAGTAGTGCTCAGCACCAATACCAGTACAAAAAAATTAAACTATACACCAATATGCTCATGACTTTAGACACAAAACTCCTCAGCAAAATACTAGCAAATAGAATGCTATTATTAATAATATTCCATGACCTGGTGCAGTTTCCTGCAGGGAGGCAAGGCCAGTTCAGCATCCAAATCCAGTCAAAGGAATCCATAATATCAACAAACTACAGAAGATAAATCACATGATCACATCAACCAAAGAAGAAAAAGCGTTTGGCAAAATTCAGTACCCATTCGTAATGAAAACTCTTAGCAAATTAAGAGGGTGATTTTCTAAATTAGATAAATAACATCTATATATAGAGAAACCCAAAAACAGACCCTTAACTATAGAGAACAAACAGATGGTTACCAGAGGGGAGGTGATTGGGGGAATGGGTGAATTAGGTGAAAGGAATTAAGAGTACACTTACCTGTTTTTATTTTTTTAAAGATGTTTGCTATTTGCTAATAACATTATTTTTTATGAAGAAAATCCTCAGGAATCCACAAAAAAAAAAATCTAGAAAAAGTGAATTCTGCAAGGTTGCAGGAGACAAGGTCAACATATCAAAACTAATCGTATTTCTCTGTTAACAGTAATGATCATGTGCAAACTGAAATTAAAAACTCAATATGATATATAATGACTCCCCCCAAAAAGTGCCTAGATAAAAACCTAACAAAATATGATCAGGGTCTACAAATGGAAAATTATAAAACACTAACGAAATAAAAAAGGATCTAAATAAATAAAGAGACATACCACATTCACGGACTGAGTCAATATAATAGATGCCAAATCTCACCAAAATGATCCATATACTAATATAATGTTTATCAAAATCCCAGCAAGATGTTTTATAAATACAGAAAAACACAATAAAGTGTATATAGAAAGCCAAGGGAAAAAAATTAATATGGAAAGCTAAATTATTTTTTAAAATTTAGGGTGAGTAATCACTTTACCCAATTTTAAGATTTCTGAAAGCTACAGTAATCATGATAGTGTGGCACTGGCACAGGTTTAGACATACAAATCAATGGGATAATATAGAGAACTCAGAAATAGACCACCATAAACATGCCTAACTGATTTCTGACTAAGGAGTAAACATAATTCAATGGAGGCATAATACTGTAGTCTAGTTTTCAACTAATGGTACTAGTCAACTGAATATCCTTAAGCAAAAATACAAGAAAGAAACTCAACCTCACATGGTAATGCAAAAATGAACTCAACATGGATGAGATTTAAACATAAAGGGTAAAACTATAAAATTTTTAAGAGAAAATATTCAGGACTGAGAGCTTGCTTAAGACTTCTTACACATGACATGAAAAGGATTAAGAGGTTCCTTCATAATAATGCCATGAATCAGTATAACAAAAATGGCTTGGCCTACAATAGCAATATAAAAGTACACATGTGGTGATTTAAAAGGCCCTGAGGAGGGTTAACATGAATGCATGATTATTTTTACATTTCTTCACAGCATATTTCTTAGTGTGAGGTAATACTATCATGTGTAGCTCAAAAAAACAAAACAAAAACAAACAAACAAAAAACCAAAGATGGAATTCCAAAAGACCCTGATAAAAGGTACTACTCATTACTTATTATACCAGGATTAAGGCCATGGTAACAACTGTGAAACTCACAGATACCTGCATGTGCACATACCAATTTCATCTGTTAAAATTCTAGTCAATCTCCTCAATGGAGAATCTTCACACAATCTTTTGTAAGATTAAAAATGAGATTTCTTCTCTGTGCTTTTCTATTTTTTTTTTTAAAGATTTTATTTATTTGAGAGAGAGAGAATGAGAGACAGAGAGCATGAGAGGGAAGAGGGTCAGAGGGAGAAGCAGACTCCCCGCTGAGCAGGGAGCCCGATGTGGGACTCAATCCTGGGACTCCAGGATCATGACCTGAGCCGAAGGCAGTCACTTAACCAACTGAGCCACCCAGGTGCCCCTGAGTTTATTTTTTCTTAAGCTAATTTAGCTATGTATTTGATTTTGTTTTGGCTCTAATTCAACCCCTAGAAAACAACTGATGTGGACTTGGGAGAAGCCTAAGGACTGGAGAAGCTTAGGAACCACAATCAGAGGGAAGAATTCAGATTCATCTGGGAAGGTCACGTAGCTACACTGCTGTCCTCACACAAAAATACCAATAAACAAGTAGATTAAGAGCAAGTATAAGTAGTGGGTTGTTAAAGACACATGAAAAAACATTCTTTTGTTTTTGTCTAAATCAAAATCTTGAGTGTGGTACAGTGGGCCCATTTATACATACATCTTTACCTCCTGAAATTTAACAGTATTTCATAACTCAAGCCTTCATATTTCTCATTAAGGCTTATGCTACTCAAGGGTAGAGACGAAGCTGTAGAACAAAGGCTTTCAATAAATGTTTTCAGACACACCCTGAATGTCCAACTGTCCTGATAATGGACAGCAGTGGAAATATACACAAGATAAAGGGGACAAGGCTCTCTCATCTCTGAAACAACACTCCCCCTTCCCCAAATAAGATAAGGAACAAACTACCATAGGCTTGTCACAGAAGTCTGAAAGAAACCATGCTTGAATTTCTTTTATGTCTTCTCTTCCTTTGTTTAAATATCCCTGAGATAATTTTTCAGTGTAAACTGAGGAGAAAGATGTGGCTGATGGTTATGCTAAATTCATGAGAATGACTGGATCACACTCCTGGATGAATTCTCAGATGCAGAATAAGGCTCTAGACTGGGTAAATTTCCAGTCTGACTCCTTAGATGACAAATGATATCCTACAACAAAAGGGTTTCTCAAAGGGAAGGAAACTAAGGGGTTTCTCTTTGGTATGAATGATCAGATTCTGAGTAAGATGTTTCCTCAGTGGTTACATTCAAGAAGTCTTTCCCCAGTAGGAGCTCTTAGAGGATGACTGATGGCTGCTCATTTGTGAAGGGTCTTCCCACTTCTGTTACACTGACAGGGTTTCTCCCAGTATGAATCCTCTGATGCTGAGTGAGGGATGAGCTGCGACTGAAGGCTTTTCCACACTCACTGCACTCATAAGGCTTCTCTCCAGTATGGATAACGGAGTGTCGGATAAGGCTTGTGCTCCAGCAAAAGGATTTCCCACACTCCCTGCATTCATAGGGCTTCTCTCCACTGTGAATCCGCTGGTGCCTTGTGAGCCCTGAACGGCGGTTGAAGGCCTTCCCACACTCCATGCACTCATAGGGCTTCTCTCCAGCGTGGATGCTGATGTGTCGAATGAGGTCTTTCCTAGTGCTAAAGGCTTTCCCACATTCTTTGCACTCAAAAGGTTTTTCTCCAATGTGAGCCCTTTTATGCAAGATGAAAGTGTAGCAGTAGGTGAAGGCCTTTCCGCACTCACTGCACTCAAAGGGCTTCTCCCCAGTGTGGATAATGGCATGTCGAATGAGGTTTGCCCTCTGGCAAAAGGCTTTGCCGCACTCCATGCATTCATAGGGCTTCTCTCCACTGTGAATCCGCTGGTGCCTTGTGAGGTATGACCGGCGATTGAAGGCCTTCCCACACTCCGTGCACTCATAGGGCTTCTCCTCAGTGTGGATGCTGAAGTGTCGGATGAGGTCTGATCGATTGCTAAAGGCTTTCCCACATTCTTTGCATTCATAGGGTTTTTCTCCAGTGTGGGCCCTTTTGTGCAAGATGAAAGTAGAGCAGTGGGTGAAGGCCTTTCCACACTCACTGCACACATAGGGCTTCTCCCCAGTGTGACTCCGCTGGTGCTGCTTGAGGTGTGACCGGCGGTAGAAGGCCTTCCCACACTCGAGGCACTTGTATGGCTTCTCTCCTGTGTGGATGACATAGTGCTGAATGAGATCCGTGCTGTCGCAAAAGGCTTTCCCACATTCACTGCATTCAAACGGTCTCACTCCAGTGTGAATCTGCTGGTGCCACGTGAGGTGGGACCTGCGGTTGAAGGCCTTCCCACACTCTATGCACTCAAAGGGCTTCTCTCCCGTGTGGATGATGTAGTGTCGAAGGAAACCAGTCCTATCACGGAAGGCTTTCCCACATTCTTTGCACACAAAGGGTTTTTCTCCAGTGTGGCTTCTGTTATGCAAGACTAAATTGGAGCGGTGGGTAAAGGCCTTTCCACATTCACTGCACTTATAAGGCTTCTCTCCAGTGTGAATCCGCTGGTGTCTTGTGAGGTGTGACCTGCGGTTGAAAGCCTTCCCACATTCCATGCACTCATAGGGTCGCTCCCCTGTGTGGATCATGTGGTGCTGGAGGAGGTGTGTGCTCTTGCTAAAAGTTTTCCCACACTCAGTGCATTCATAGGGCTTCGCTCCAGAGTGAATCTGTTCATGTCGCACAAGAAAGCAATTCTTGGTAAACACTTTCCCACATTCCTCACACTGATGGGGATGTTTTCCTTTATGAATCAAGGGATCTTTCAGTAGTCCCTGTGAGTCATATTTGTGGAGAACACGTCCTGGAGGGATCAGCTCCCGTACAGTCCTTGAGTGTACACCATCACCTGTCCCTAAACCATCATGTTCAGGCTTCATGTTCCCAGGGAGCTTCTCCATTTGGGGGTCTATCCCTGGTTTCAACTGGCTTTCCAGCATTTCTGATGGCCTATCCTGATTTTTGCCTTGCTCCAGCTGGGAGTCCCCCAGAGCTTGCTGAGTCAGTTGTTCCTGTGGTGAGACTTCCTCAGATAAGGCAAGGTGAGAAAGGGAAAGCTCTGTGGTCCCGGGTTTTGTACTGTCACCTGAAGGAAATACAATATACAGAAGGGCTTATTAGAGATGGCAACACAGAAAAACAAAATCGCCATTTCAGTGGGAATAAGAAGATGAAAATAGTGGCTCTGTGCCTGCCATGTTTTCAAATCTCTGAAATCCAGTTTGCAATTTCTTTTTGGACCTTGAATTCTTGAAACCTTTGAGGGGAAACCCAGAGGGAGAGAACAGATGGGGGACAGAGTGTCTGGCAACTAGGGACAAGTACACAGAGTAATGACACCGCATTGCTGGGTTTGCTCAAAGCTAGAATGCCTCCAGGTGTTATAAGAGGCCAGAGAAGGGGCACCTGATGCAGCCTCCACAGCAGCCGTTAAGAGGTAAGGGAGGGTTCCTAGGCAGGGAATGTGAGAAATTGCCATACAGAGAAAACAGGAAAGCCATTTCAGCCTTAGTTGATGGAATGAACAAAGGTAGAGTCTTTCAAGATTCAGGGAACCTTCAGTGCACAAGACGATGGGGCTGGTAAGAGTGCAGCCCCTGACATGGGATTGGTGTCCACACAAGAAGAAACATAAGAGCGTTTGCATCTTCTCAGTGCCATGTGAGGAGAGGAGACTCCTATCTGCAAACCAGGAAGAGGGCCCTCACCAGACACCCAGATCTGCCAGCCCCTGGATCCTAAACTTCTGGCCTCCAGAACTGTGGGAAATCAACGTTTGTTGTTTAATCCTCCAGTCTGTGGCATTCTTGTTACAGCAGTCCAGACTGACTAGGAAGTTGGTATAAGTAATGTTCTCATTCTTGAAGTCAGTGACGTTAAGTGTATTATTTTCAAAAAAGAAATGAATGAGCAAGTAACTTAGTTGACACATCAATTAATCAAGGTCATTCGTGAATCAGTGATGACAATGTGTCATAAACCAAGGTTTATGATTAATCGAAATCTGTACCTGAGGTCCACTAAACAAAAGTTAGAGGTCACAGCAGTATTATGGTTAAGATCATGGTCTCTGACCACAGAAACCCTAGACCCAAGTCCCACAAGAACTGAGTATTAGCTCCGTGGCACCTGGCAAGGCACTCAAATTTCATAAGTCCTCATTTTGTCTTCTAAAAAATAAAGTTAGAAATAGAGACTGTCCTGTAGGACTCTGAGGATGAAGTGAAACCGTGCATTTACCACATTTACTCTGTGAACCATGTTCAGTATGAGGCCATACCTACACGTCAGCTCTAATTTTTTATTATGGGTTAGTCAAATAATATACATCTGGGACCTAATTAGGAAGCATATAAATTGGCAGTGTCAGAATGTGTGGATTAACCTTGAAGAGTATTGAAGAGTAAAAAGAATGGTCCATGAGATGCCTGATGAGCCAACATTAAAGTCACCAGAATAAGAAGACAAGGAAGGAGATTAGCAGCAGAGACTCCAAGAGGATCAGATGCTCACGATACAATCTGAAAAATCTGCTGCATTATGAATTCACATAGCTGGAGGTTAAGAAAGTTGGCTCTGGAGCCAGAACACTTGGCACAAATTCTGCCCATACCAAGTGAATTGATACTGTACAAATTACTTAGCTGTTCCCATCTCAATTTCCTCGCGTGAAAAACCGAGGGACTCTGTTTCTGCCTCACTGACTGTCCTGAACGTTAAATGAGAAAATGCCTATAAAGTGGTCAGCACAGTGCCAGCCACTGGAGGATCATTTGGGAAATTGTGGGCCATCACCCATTATCATTATGGTTGCTGCTGTATTTGAAAATTAGGACCAAAGCAGTGACTGTGTAAGGAACATTTTCAGTGCTGTGGTACAGACGAACCCCCTCACAGGGCCTCAAAGCACAAAGAGAATGATGTTACCACTTTCACATGTGAATGGTGGGAATGTGAAAGGGTGCAGCCTTCTTCAGAACTGCTTGGCATTTTTCCAATAAAGCCAACCTAACCTGGAAACATACCAGAATCTGTTCCTAACAGAAATCAGTGCTTATCTGCACCAAAACACATAACAAGAATATTCTCAGCAGCATTAACTTGAAAACAACAGGAATGCCTGCCAAGAGGGGAATGGATAAATGAGTGGCAGTTTTTCACACAATGAGATATTACGCTAGATTGAGAGTGAACGAACTCCAACTATATGCAACCATATGAAAAGAATCTCACAGACATAACGATGGTCAAAAGGAGACAAATACACACACAGCACGTGGTGGGGTTCCATAGTCAAAACAAATTCATGCTAATAGTCTCAGTAGGGATTACCTAGCAGAAGGGGCTTCTGAAGGCATGAGACTCTGACGAGGTGCTGGAAATATTGTACAGTAGTCCCCTTTATCTGTGAGGGATTTGTTCCAAGACCCCCAGTGGGTCCCTGAAATTGTGGCTAGTACCAATCTTATGTATACTCTGTTTTTTATATATACAAACCTATACTAAAGTTTAATTTATAAATCTGGTACATAAGAGATTAACAGAAGTAACTAATAATGAAATAGAACAATTATAATAAACACTGTAATAAAAGTTACACAAACGTGGTCTCTCTAATATTTTATTATACAGCACTCACCCTTCTTCTTGTGATGCTGTGAGATGATAAAATGCCTACAAGATGAGATGAAATGAGAATGACACAGGCATGTGACATAGTATTAGGCTACTGGTGACCTTCTAATGATACATCAGAAGGACGATCATCTGCTTCTGGACCGTAATTGACCACGGGTAACTAAAACCATGGAAAGCAAAACCACAGATAAGGGGGCACCATGGTATATATTAAATATTAACATAGGTGATGGTTATACAGGTTTTTATGTTCACAAAGATTCATCAAGCTGACCTCTTAAGATTTTTGCACAACAGAGCATATGAGTTACAACTCATTCAAACAGTGCAAGAAGGGACACCTGGGTGGCTCAGTCAGTTAAGTGTCTGCCTTTGACTCAGGTCATGATCTCAGGGTCCTGGGATTGAGTTCTGCATTGGGCTCCTTGCTCAGCTGGGAGCCTGCTTCGCCCTCTGCCTGCTGCTGCCCCTGCTTGTGCTCTCTCTCTCTGACAAATAAAATCTTTTTAAAAAATAAATAAAATTAAAATTAAGAAAAAAGTGGAAGAAAATAATAGTAGATGGGAGAATGGAACACAAGTATAGACATCTCTTGCAAGAATGAGACAACTTGGGGCGCGTGGGTGCCTCGGTTGGTTAAGCGTCTGCTTTCGGCTCACGTCATGATCCTGGAGTCCCAGGATCGGGCCCTGCGTTGGGCTCCCTGCTCAGTGGGGAGTCTGCTTCTCCCTTTCCCCCTGCTCGTGCTCTCTTTTTCTCTCTCTCTCTCAAATAAATAAAATCTTAAAAAAAAAAAAAAAGAATGAGACATTTTTCCTAGAAAATGGGTTATACAGGGAAAGCAGTAGATATCAGTGTGAAGACACTGGAGAGCCATGACTTTTTCATTTACTTTCCCCTAGTATGATGCAACCAAGCATATTTTTACGTTGAACAGAGAATGGGTAAAGTTACAGAAAAGGCAGAAAAGCAGTGAAGCAAGAAGCAAGTTCCCTGAAAAGGTGTGATCTGGCCTCTAGTGTGAGAATTTGCCACGGTCGGGGAAAAGGCCTCCTCTGGGGGGAGGTGAGAAGGGAGGCCACACATATGAGAGATTCAGATCAATGTGTAATGGTTGGTGATCAAGCAACGCAAGAACACGGACTGTTTTCGACATGAAAATATGCTAAGACATATGGGGGATGTGCTGAAGATCTGGAACAAGCTCTCAGTGGCTGGGGGAGCCAGTACAGGAGACAGGGCAGATCAGAGGGACACAGATGTGGGGAGACCAGCTATCACCCAGGCAAAAGTTGAAACCTGGACTCAGGAGTGTAGGGATGGGTCTCAGGGAGGAGGGGAGGTGGTGAAGACGTTCATGTGAAATGGAGAGGATGTCTGAATGTAGGGGTTAGTAGAGACGGAGGTGTTGAGGAGTTATCTGAAGTTGCATCTGGCCTTCTAACATGCATGGGAGGTGGGAGGAGCAGGTAAAATCATGAGCTCCCTCTTAGGTATGTTGAGCGAGAAGTGTCTTTTCCACTTTTCCACAGATGTGAGACCAGTGACAAGGATGAAGATTTGGAACACACTCCGAGGGGCCGAACAGACACATACCTGGGATGAAAGCCCAAGGGACCACCAGAGGGGAGAGAGCATGGCTCTGCAGCGGCACCAGTCACCATACCTGACATCCCCAGGGCCTCAGCAACCCAGATTTGGGGAACAGAAGGCAAAATGTTACCTTGAAGGTTAAGCAAACAGGAGGGGTGCGAAGACATGGAGCAAGGGAGTGCTTCTGAGTGTCTGACTGGCACCTGGAGACTGGGTGGATGGAGAAGGTGAGGAAGGGTGGGATGCAGAGTACAGCTTGGTTCCTTGCAGTGCAGAAGGAAATGTGAGATACTACCATTATTCATCAGGACTAGTATTATGATCTGAATAACACTAACAGCTTACTTTTGCTGAGCCATTCACTCACTATGGGTCAGGGCCCGTGCCAGCCAGTTTCATACACAATCTGGTACATCCTCAAACAACCCAATGACCTGGGAGCAGACTGAATGTTGCAGACTACACTCACCGAACCATTTGTTCCTCTCCTTGGACACACAGCTCAGCCTCATTTCCCAGCCCCAGGAGCCTAAGTGTGGCCAGATGCCTTGTCAGTGGAATGTGAGGAGAAACAGTGTATGTGGAAGTGGGTATGACACCTTCCTTTCTTCTCCCGTTTCCCCTCTGCCAGCCGGAAGACGCCAGGACAATGTGCAAGTCTCATGTTGATAGGAGGTACCTGGGTCCCCGAATAACAGTGGTACACAGCTCCACACTGACCCACATTGTCCTTGGGTGAGAAAAGTACTTTTCATATGCTGAGCCACCAAGATTCTGGAATATGCCTGTTAGAGCACTTAGATTTACACTGGCTGAACTTACATATAAAAGCACAGTGAGATCATGCACCTTCCCCAGGGCCACAAGGCTGTTGTGGGTCCCAGCTAGTTTTTAAGCCCGAGCAGCTGGAACTGAGAGTCTGACCTTATTAACTAATAGGTCCCACACCTCCACAGGAGCGCTGGAGATTGTGACAGGGCTGGAGCGGGTGGGCAGAAGGACCACAGGTTAAAAGGCTCCATGGGTCCTAAGCCTCTAGAGAGGCCACAATAATAAAACTTCCACAAATTCCAGTGGCAGTAATCACTGTGCTGTCTGGAAGCTGCCATGACCCTGACCAGGCCTGCTGTTGGCACCTACCTGGGCAGGAGTTAGGGGAGAGGCCTCTCTTCAACGTGTGTAACTCTGGGCTGTGATCCAATGGGTAGAACAGCTCTGGTTTGGGCAAAGGACAGCCTGTTCAAGGAGAAAGGAAAAGGATGTGGAAATTGTGGCGAGAAGAAAGAAACCTCTCAATCTAGACTGGGACTTCAGAATTTGGAGAAGGCCTCAGAATGAAGCTGCTCCCATCCATGCAAACAAAATGATATGACCTGGAAACCAACGCATAAAACATCATTATTGGGCCCCAAAGACCGTAAAAATTAGGGTTGGCTCCAGAGACAGCACCAATTCCCTTTGATCTCCATCATGTAGAATCCCAACACTGTTCAGACCTATCTCCGGAATGTGCTTTCTCATGAATCCAGTTAGGCGCCTCTACCTCCCTGTGCATCAGCTACACCTGGTGAGCCTGAATGCCACCACAGACTAATTTACATAAAATCTCTGGGGTGAAGCCTAGGCATCAGATTTTAAAAGATTTTTCTTTCTTTTTTTTTATTTAAAGATTTTTATTTATTTATTCATGAGAGAGAGAGAAAGAGAGAGAAGCAGCAGGAGAAGCAGGCTCCCAAGGAGCAGGGAGCCCGACGTGGGACTTGATCCCAGGACCCTGGGATCATGACCTGAGCCGAAGGCAGACGCTTAACCATCTGAGCCACCCAGGCGCCCTAGGCATCAGATTTTAAACACTCCCCAGGTGATTGCACCCCACCTGGTAGGTTAAAAAACCCTGGTTTCCATCATTTCAAAAATGGCATCCCTGAGTATCGATAGTCTGAGGAAGGCTGGCTACTCTGAGTAAAGAGAAAGGTTTATTCCAGGCAGAAAGACTGGAAGACAAAAACAGGAACAAGGACAACAAATAGGAAACAGTGACAAACATGGTAAATATTAATCCCACTATGTCAATATCACTTGGAACATCAATGTTTTTCTAAATGCTCCAATTATAAGACAGAGGTTGTCAGAGTGGATCAAAAAACAAGACCTAGGGTGCCTGGGTGGCAGTCAGTTAGGCATCTGACTCGGTTTCAGCTCAGGTAGTGAGACTGAGCCCTGTGTCAGGTTCCACACGCTCAGTGCAGAGTCTGCTTGAAATTCTCTCTCCCTCTGCCCATCCTGCTCATGCTTTCTCTCTCTCTAAAATAAATAAATAGGGGCGCCTGGGTGGCTCAGTCGGTTAAGCGTCTGCCTTTGGCTCAGGTCATGATCCCAGGGTCCTGGGATCGAGTCCCGCATCGGGCTCCCTGCTCATCAGGGAGTCTGCTTCTCCCTCTGCCTCTCTCTCTTTCTCTCTCTCTGTCTCTCATGAATGTTCTGCCTGCCTGTGTGCTCTCTCTGTCAAATAAATAAAATCTTAAAAAAAATAATAAAATAAATAAATAAATCTTAAAAACAAAACAAAACCCAACTATAGGTTGTCTATAAGAAACCCATTGTAAATATACAAATAAGACACATACATGTTGAAAGTAAATGAATAGAGAAAAATACACTAATATGTTAATAAAGTATGCTAATACTAATCAGAAGAAAGCAAGCATACCCATGTTATTTCAGACAGAGGAGACTTCAAAGCAAGGAAAGTTACCAGGGCTAAAGAAGGCATTATGTAATGATAAACGGGTTAATTTGCAAAGAAGACATAAAAATCCTTAATCTGTATGTGTCTGGCAACACAATGTCAAACTACATGAGGCAAAAACTGATAGAATGACAAGAAGAAATAGATGAATCCACTATCAAAGCTGGAAACCACACTACCCCTCTATCAGAAATGTACAGATCCAACAGGCAGAAAACTAGTAATGACATAGTTGAACTCAACAATACCATCAATTAATTGGATATAATGGACATCTACAGACTACTTCATCTAAAAAGAGAATATATGTTCTTCTCAAACTCACATGGAACATTTACCATGACAGATTATATTCTGGGCCATAAAACACACTTTAACAAATTTTAAAAAGAACAGAAATCATAAAATGTCTGCTCTCAGACAATAAAGTAATTAACTAGAAATTAATAACAGAAAGATAATTGGAAAATCCCTAAATAGGTAAAGATTAAACAACACACTTTTATTATTTTTATTTTTGTTTATTTTTTTAAAGATTTTATTTATTTGACAGACAGAGACACAGTGAGAGAGGGAACATAAGCAGGGGGAGTGGGAGAGGGAGAAGCAGGCTTCCCACTGAGCAGAGACCGATGTGGGGCTCGATCCCAGGACCCTGGGATCATGACCTGAGCCGAAGGCAGACACTTAATGACTGAGCCACCCAGGCGCCCCTGAACAACACACTTTTAAATAACACATTGGTCTAAGACGCAATCTCAAGGAAGTAAAAAATATTTTGAACTAAATGAAAACAGAAATACAGGGCACCTGTATTTGGAGAGTTGGAAGAGCATGTGACTCCTGATCTTGGGGTCACGAGTTCGAGCCCCACGTTGGGTGTATAGGTTACTAAAAAATAGATAAATAAATAAACTTTCAACAAACTAACTAAAAAACCAAAAATACAACCTAGCGAAATTTATGGGATGAAACAAAGCATGCTTAGCAGGAAATTTATAACACAGAATGCATATTTTTTAAAAGAAAGATCTTAAGTTAATTATTAAATTTCCACCTTAGGCAACCAGAAGAAGAATAAATTAAATGCAAAAAAAACACTATAAAAGAAATAAGAATTAGAGCAGAAATCAATGAAATTGAAAACAGAAACTAGAGAAAATAAACAAAACCAAAATCTGGTTCTCTAAAAATATCAATAAGAATGAAGGGGGGGAAATCGGAGGGGGGAGACGAACCATGAGAGACTATGGACTCTGAGAAACAAACTGAGGGTTCTAGAGGGGAGGGGGTGGGGGGATGGGTTAGCCTGGTGATGGGTATTAAAGAGGGCACGTTCTGCATGGAGCACTGGGTGTTATGCACAAACAATGAATCATGGAACACTACATCAAAACTAATGATGTAATGTATGGTGATTAACATAACAATAAAATTTTTAAAAAAGATAAAAAATAAAAAGATCAACAAAATTGATAAGCTTCTAGCCAAGCTAAGAAGAAATGAGAAATGACACAAATTACTAATATCAGGAATATAACAGAGGACATCACTACAGATCCCATGGACATTAAAAGAATATTAACGGAATACTATTAACAATTTTATCTTCACAAATTTGATAACTGAGATGAAGGAACCAATTACTTGAAAGACACAATCTGCTAAAACTCACACAAGAAGAAACAAAAATCTGAATAAGCCTATATCTATTAAGGAAATCGAATCAATAGTTAATAACCTTTCAAAAAAACAAAGCACCAGGCCCAGATGGGTTAACTGGTGACTTCTACCAAACACTGAAGGAAGAAATTATACCAAGTCCCTACATTCTCTTCCAGAGACAGAAACAGAGGGGTATTTCCTAATTCAATCTGTAAGTTTGAGTTAGGAAATCTGTAACTCTAATATCAAAATGAAACATATTACAGAAAAGTATACACAGTATCTCTCATGAATATAGATGTAAAAAAATCCCCCACGAAATATTAACTAATCAAACCCAACAATGTATAAAAAGATTACATACCACTACCAAGTGGGATTTATCCCAGATATACAAACGTGGATAAAAATTTATTTATTTATTTTTTAATTTAGTTATTTTTGACAGAGAGAGAGAGCACAAGCAGGGGGAGCGGCAGGCCGAGGGAGAGGGAGAAGCAGACTCCCTGCTGAGCAGAGAGCCCGATGTGGGGCTCGATCCCAGGACCCTGGGATCATGACCCAGGCTGAAGGCAGATGCTTAACAACTGAGCCACCCAGGTGCCCCAAACCTGGATAAAAATTTAAAAATCAATTAATATAATCCATCACATCAATAGGCTAAAGAAAAATCACATAATTATATTGATAGCTGCAGAAAAGCATTGATAAAATCCAACAACCATTCATTAAAAAAAAGAAAAAGAACCTTAGAAAAATAGGAATAGAGGGAAATTTCCTCGGCTTGATAAAGAACATCTACAAAAACACCTACACTTAACAACCTACTTTAAGGTGAGAAACTTGGAGCTTTCCCACTAAGATCAGGAACAAGGCAGGATGTCCTCTCTAACCGTTTTCAACATTAAACTGAAAGCACCAGCTAATGTAATAAGGCAAGAAAAAGGTATACAGACTGAGAAGGAAGAAATAAAATTCTTTATTTGTGGATGACATGGTCACCTCTGTGGAAAATCCAACAGAATCAACAAAAGACCTCTGGAACTAATAAGCAATTATAGCAAGATTGCAGGATACAAGCTTAATGTACAAAATGCCTTTGTATATACCAGAACTTAGCAAGTAGAATTTAAAATTAAAAACACATTACCATTTACATTAGTACTCCCCAAATGAAATACTTAGGTATAAATCTAAGAAAATATATATAGGATCTGTATGAGGGAAGCTACACAACTTCAATAAACAAAATAAAAATAAAAAAAATAAATGGAACGATATTTCATGTTCATGGATAGGAAGGCTCAATATTGTCAAGATGTCAGTTCTTCCCTATTTGATCTATAGATTCAATGCAATACCAGTCAAAATCCCAGCAAGTCATTTTGTGGATACCAACAAACTGATTCTCAAGTTTATATGGAGAAACAAAAGACCCTGGTCTCCTAAGCATTACAGTAAAAAGGAAACAGCAAACACTCTTGTATGGGGCCAGCAACCTGAGTCCAGGGCGCCTGGGTGACTCAGTCGTTAAGTGTCTGCCTTCGGCTCAGGTCATGATCCCAGGGTCCTGGGATCGAGTCCCACATCGGGCTCCCTCCTCAGGGGGAAGCCTGCTTCTCCCTCTCCCACTCCCCCTGCTTGTGTTCCTGCTCTATCTCTCTCTGTGAAATAAATAAATAAAATCTTTAAAAACAAACAAACAAAAAACCTGAGTCCCAGAAGGCTAAAGCAGTGAGAGAGGGAGGGGGATGTGTGCAGGAGGATTCAATCCTCAAGAAATGGGGGTCAAGAGGAGAGGCAGACTTGGTGATGCTAGACACCATTTCATGAACCACTAAGAACAAAAAGCTGGGAACTGCACTCAGTAATTTGGTCAAAAAAAGACACCAGCATAAATAGAAAATATCATCTGTTCTGGCCAACATTTCACAAAAGAAACCACCAAAAAATGCAGAGGAGAGCTTTTCACAATGAAGATGTGTCTTTTAAATTGAACAGATTGGGGCGCCTAGGTGGCTCAGTCGTTAAGCATCTGCCTTCAGCCCAGGTCATAATCCCAGGGTCCTGGGATCGACCCCACATCGGGCTCCCTGCTCGGCGGGAAGCCTGCTTCTCCCTCTCCCACTCCCCCTGCTTGTGTTCCCTCTCTCGCTGTCTCTATCTCTGTCAAATAAATAAATAAAACCTTTTAAAAAATATTAAAAAAAAAATAAATTGAACAGATTAAGCTTTATGAGGGACTCGTTGCAGTGGCCCTATTTTCCTTATTTGCCAAGGATGTCACTCAGAAGAATTAAATGAGTGAAGAGGAACAGTATCAGCATACAGAAAGAAGTAGAGACAAGGACCATGGGGCTTCACACAGCAAGGACTGGGTGGCCACTTCCTGCTGCAAAATAGCTGCGGCAGAAAAAAATCATTGTGAAAAGACAGAGACACAAGCAGACCCACAGAGAGAAGCCAGGACAAAAGCCCCAAAAGCCAGGGATTGTGTTTCTCTAAGTTCCTGTATCAGTCCCTCAAGGGGCCCAGCTGGAATTCCTGCTTTTAGGTTTTGTGAGACAACCCCATTTCCTCCCAACACACCCTTCTCCTTTGGCTGTGACCAAAAGTAAACTAGACCAAAAGGCATCCGGCTGGCTCAGTCTGCCTTCGGCGCAAGTCATGATCCCAGTGTCCTGGGATCGAGCCCTCCATTGGGCTCCCTGCCCGGTGGGAAGCCTGCTTCTCCCTCTCCCACTCCCTCTGCTTGTGCTCCTGCTCTCGCTGTCTCTCTCTCTGTGTCAAATAAATAAATACAATCTTAAAAAAAAAAAGTAAACTATGTTTCTTACTTAACGCTCCTTGAGACACGGGAGAGCAGGAAGGAAGACAGGAGTCTAGAATATGACTGAAGTGGGGAGGAGAACAGGAAGGCTACAGACGCCTTCTGAAGCAGCCAGGCCTGGAGCCAAAGAGCAGAGTGAAGGAAGTGACAGGTATCCTATACCGCAGAGTTAGGGAGGCCTTACCCAGAGAGACGAGGAGCCCACAGGTCTCCAGCATCACCTCCTGGTACAGGGTCCTCTGGGCCGGGTCCAGCTGCCCCCACTCCTCCTGGGTAAAAGTCACGGCCACATCTTCGAAGGTCACAGGCATCTGAAAAGTCAAACACAGGCAGTGTGTTGGTCTTGGGGTTATTGATGGGAATCAGAGCCCATCTCTCTTGATGGCAAGGGAGCAGAGTGACCAAACACCCCCTGAGGGCTGAGCTCTGTGCTGGACTCAAGGAAGCAGATGCTGTTTTGTCCTGATTACAGCAGCAACTCGTAAGAGACAGAGCCTCCTATGTGGGAGCCAATGGAGAATGGTGTGAGGGCAGGACCTTTCTGTGTGCACTGTGAGGCACAGAATGGTAAGGGCTTTAAGATGCCACAGGAATGGGACAGAGTAACAAAGATAATGAAAACAGTACCAATAATAATTACAGCAACAGCAGCCAAGACTCACTGATCTTCACTGCATGCCTGACTCATGCTGACCTCTGTCTTGCTAATGTGAATGAAAGTCCCCAGCTCTGAAGTCTAGAATCGACACTTGCCTGCCGTGTGAACTTGGGAACCTCACTTCATTTCTCTCAGCCTCAATTTCTGTATCAATACAGTAATTCTCACTCAGCAGTAATAGTTATGAGAATTAAAGAAAAAAATCTTTGTAAAAGAAACACTGGGGTGACTGGCCACAGCCTGTGAGGTCAGTATCATTACCATGTTCGTGTCAGTCAGGGCCCTGAAGTCCAGGGGACTCTAGTAGTTCACCCACAGTTTACATGTGGTATGAGCAGAGGCAGGATTTGAACTGAGGTCTCTCTGGTCTAGAGTCTAATGGCATAATCTTGACACTCCTCCATTAGCAAAGGAGTTAATGAAGATGTGAAGCATTTCAGATAAATTTCTCTGCCACACTCATTTCAGCCACCATTGAACATAATTCTGTGGACATGGGCAGAGGAGGGGACTCGACATCACCCACCTCACAGGACGATCACCTGAGGTGGTGGCACCTGCTTGGGAAGTGGCAGGGCCTGGATCAGGTCCCATTGCCTTCTGTTCCTCAGAGACTACTAAGGAGAATCCACAATGCGTCAATGTTTCTTTTTCCTACCTGAGTCTTTCCCTCCACCCCTTTTGGCAACTCTGAGGGAGTTCAAACCCCCCCACCTGAGTCTCAATAGCACGTACCCCTGAGGAAAGAATACTTCAGGCCCAGAACACAGAAGTTACTGAGGACAACGCAGGCTGTGGCCATGAGACCAGCCTTTGCCACAGTGTCTGTCATGGCTGAGAGTATGATGGAACATTCAGCAAATGACCACACGGTCTGGCCCTCCTAGGGTATGTCTCAGCAGAAGGGGGTAGGGGGACCATGGAAATCACACAGGTACTCTGGGGACTCCTTAAACAACCAATCTACCTTTTTTTGTCCACACACTTCCACTTGCTAAAATGCCGTATCCCCACCTCATGCACAAGGCCTGTAAGGAAGCCTGCTTGGCTTACAAAGTTGACTTCAGCTGTCACCTCCAGGCATCCCTATCTGCTTTTTGTAGAGAAAGGAGTAAAAATACAGGCTGTGGTGATCAACACGTTGGTTGTTTCTGCTACTTAAGAGCTGCAGTGATTTTGGGCACTAAATCTCTGAGCCTCAAGGTGTTCTTGTGCAAAACAGCAATAACAACACAACTCAACTCAGGAGCTGAGGATTAAATGAGGTGATATGTTATGCCTGCCTGTCAGCCCACAGGAAGAACCAGTGAAAGCCAGCTATCATGGTTCTTTTGTTACTGTTTTCTCTTTGCTCCCACAACATCCTAGACGAATTCAACCACGAACACTTCCTTAATTTTGCCAGGTTCCCTACACAAAAATGCAGATGATGGGCAAGGAGGGAAGGGGCCATTTTAGCCTGAACCGCTAGGAAACATCTCTCCAAGTGAGTGACATCTGAGCAGAAGCCAGAAGGATGTGAGAGACAGGCCCTGCAAAGTCATAGGGGCAGTATCCCAGGCAAAGGCCACAGTGCAAAGGACAAAGGCTGGGGGGATGAAAAAGAACTTGGCATGGTCAGGCTGGTGCATCCGGAAAGAAGGTAAGGTCAGAGGAGGTCAGCGGGAGAACCGGGTAGGCACCTGCAAAAGTCGTGGCAGCGGGCTGGACTGATAAGTGACCGAAGCCCTTGGAAGTAAGCACTTTTCATCCTTTGTGCACTGACTGAACACCTGCCAGAGACCCGCCACAGACGCAGGACTACGGATAAAGTGACAAGCCAGCGCCACTTGCTGTAAACAAACGACAAGGAGAAAAGGAAATCGAATGGCATTCTTGGCCTCCAGGCTGCCTGGGAGCCCCTCCGCAGCAGAGAGGAAGCAATGCTAAGAGCATCGTCCACTCACCCGCACCGGGTCCATCCACGCCGCCGCCATCATAGGACCCTGTGCACAGAGCAGGACCCGGAGGGGCAGCGGCCGAGGGGCCTGCAGGATTCAGCCGACTGCACCCGTTCGCTGCCCAGAGCGGGGTGACCTTGGCTGACTGTCGCACTCCGAGCCTGAGTTCCCCAGTGTGAGATGCGCCCGAGGCCCAGGGCGTCGAGTCAGGGCTGCGGGGACAGCGACCCGCGCCCCAGCGGGCGCTCACGTGACACCCCGTTACGGAGGAAGAGGGACGGGTGTCAGGCTTGTAAAAAGATACGGAGGCGGGACCTACGGCCCACACCTTCTCCGCTCAGGCCTCGGAAAGGCAACCTGCCCACCGCTCAAAGCACCACCGCCCGACCGGCACAGGCGGATGACGTACGCCTCATAGGGTCCGGAAGTTCCGCCCCCGCCGGCACGGGCCGCAGGAAATGCCCCTGTCTTGGGCAGTCATTGGCCCAGCGCCCGCGCAGACACGCGGAGCACAGCCTTCTGGGTAATGTGGTTTTTTCCTTACCGACAATCGGAGGTGGGGCACTTTCCAAGCGTGTCTTCTCCGGAAGAGTGCGCGAAGTCCAGGGCGCAGCCTCAGACCCGCTTCTTCAGAGTGGGATCAAGGGACGGGGGCGAGGCTCAGGGAGCGGGGACCAGGTCCCGTAACCGGCTTCTTGGCTCGGCTCGTGACTTGCCTGTGCGCCTCACGTCCTGGCGCTCGTCCTGCCGCGAAGACGGACGCTCGAGCGGGCATGTGCCCGCCGACACCGGACGCTGGAAGCCCGCTGCGACGCGGCGCACGCGCACCACACGGCCCCTCTTGGGCCGCCTCTGGTCCAGCGCCACGTGCTGCGGGGCCTTGACGCGTGGAGGCGGCCCCGGGAGCCCGAGGAGCGGTGTGCGAGCCTCTGAGCTGGGGAGGCCGCCCCTGAGCGAGGCTGGGGGGAGGTCGGGACTCCAGTCTGGAGCATGGGCAGTTTCGAGCGTCTGTTTCACGTGGGCACTTCCACCTGTGTCTGAGCGCCGGCAGAGGGGTCGTGCGTGGATGCGGAAATTTCGGGAATTGTTAGCAGATGCTGCCATCTCAAGTCAACACAAGAGTGAGACTAGATGGAGAAAGGAATGGACAGGGGCGAACCCTGAACCAACCCGGCATTAAGTAGTTGCAGACAAGAAACCAACAGTCATGTTAGGAATTCTAACAATCCTTTCAGATTTATATTAGGCAAAATCTTACAAGTCACCATCAGTGACTTATTTAGTTTTCTTCTCATGACTATGAAAGTGAGAGAATAAAATCTCACTTCTAATGAATTGAGAATACATACGGTTATGAAAATGGAAACAGTATGCAGAAAATGCCAAGAGATTTATTTTGTGGAATATTACTCAGCCACGAGAAAGAATGAAATTTTGCCATTTGTAACAACATGGATGGAGCTGGAGTGTATTACCCTAAGCAAAGTAAGTCAGAGAAAGACAAATACCATATGATTTCACTCAGATGTGGAATTTAAGAACCAAAACAAACGATCATAGGGGGGAAAAAAGAGGAAAACTAAGAAACACTATTCACTATAGAGAACAAACTGATGGTTGCCAGAGGAGAGGTGGAGGGGGGCATGGGTTCAGTAGGTGATGGGGATTAAGGAGTGCACTTCTGATGAGCATTGGGTTATGTACGGAAGTGTTGAATCGCTATATTGTACACACTAATATTACACTGTATGTTAGCTGAAATTTGAATAAAAACTAAAAAAAAATTTTAAAAAGTGGAGAAAAGCATAGTGATTGAATCAAGGATTAAGATGCAGTTAATTTCCTAGAAGAAGATGCTTTTTATAAAAGGAGGTTGTGGAGAAATGTGGCTTAATTAGCACACAAGGAACAGTGTGATCCACCATCGAGCATAGTAATTTGACCAAATTGGAAAAGACATTCTTCTTTTCACATGGGGTTGACACGGTTAAATTAAATGGTTTGAAGGTAGGATGTACGTCAGATATCAAAGTTAAGATTTTTATATTCTGTGTCATGAGCGGCACAATGTCCGGAATCAGTGGTGAGGAAAACTATGTAGCTTTTGGAGACTTTGAAATCCCTACTTTACTGTAAAGCATGTCTGAGAGTTTTCGTAATTTAGACATATATCATCTAGTAGTCAATGTGGAAGCCCTAGTTGTCTTTTCTCTGTTTATCTACCTCCCCAAAAATGTGCCGGGTGATGTCAGTTTATCCAGCACCCAAACTGAGTAATATTGCAGGGTTCTTATGTACAAACCAGTTAGTTTATTAGGAATTTCCAGGTGTTTAATTGAAATACTGATTCAAGGGGCGCCTGGGTGGCTCAGACGGTTAAGCGTCTGCCTTCAGCTCAGGTCATGATCTCAGGATCCTGGGATCGAGCCCCACATCGGGCTCCCTGCTCGGCTTCTCCCTCTGACCCTCTTCCCTCTCGTGCTCTCTATCTCTCATTCTCTCTCTCTCTCAAGTAAATAAAATCTTTAAAAAAATGTATTACAAAATTTCTTAGAAGTCATCATTGGTTACTTCTTTGGGTTTGTTTGTTTTTTTCTCTCTTAGGCCAAGGTGAGAAAATAAAATGCAGCTTCCGATGAATTGAGCATACGTACAGTTATAAAAAACATGGAAACAGGGTGTGCATTTGAGCCTGCTGTCCTGTCACGATTACTAAACACATCACAGGGGACTAGACCTCCCCTTTCTTTTCTCCCCATGTGTATAAGATGGGAATCACAACACGCCTATTTCTTGTAAGTACTTGTATTTATTCAATTTTTTAAAAAACAAGAATAGTGCTCTCATGTAAATGCATAGAGGGAGATAAGAGAAATCTTCCTAAAGAATTCCAAGTAATACATAGATACTCTTACTTCAGGTGGTGGAGCTTGAGTCCCTTCGTTTGGGTGGACTTAGAGACTAAGTATGGAAAGAGAGAAAGTGTAACGTGACAGCAGAGGAAACTGGCAGACATCACCCTTACCACCTGATCAAAGCTAGTGTCATTGGTAATGTCATGTTCACACCAGGTACCACAAGTACAATACAACAAAACTATTCTATGATGTCCTTCCCCAAAACCCCCAACTTCACTCATAAAAAAAAAAAAAGATCAGATAATGCAAATTGAGGAACATTGTATAAAATACCTGATGAATCCTCATCAAAAGTGTTTGGATCATGAAAAACAAGATATGACAGAGCAACTGTCAGAGATGAGAGAAAACTAAACATAAAATGATTAAATGCAACTTGATGCCCTGGAATGGGATTCTGCAATACAAGGACGTTAGTTGGGGGGAAAAATGTAGTAAAATCAAAATCGTTTGTAAGGTAAACAATATCATATCAATGTTAATTTCTTAGCTTTGACAAATGTAACGTATATCTGTAAAATATTAACATGAGGTGAAACTGGGTGGAAGTTACATGGGAACTCTATATTTGCCACTTTACACTAAATCTAAAATTGTTTAAAAATAAAAAAAATTTAAAAAGAGCAAGGAGGGACTTCTAGCTTGACAAGATGAGTAGTTATGTGGACTCATTCCGTAGTGAAACTGGTGAAGAAAGTTCTAAACAAGTAAGCAAGGGCACCTAGGTGGCTCAGTTGTTAGGCGTCTGCCTTCGGCTCAGGTCATGATCCCAGGGTCCTGGGATCGAGCCCCACATTGGGCTCCCTGCAGCTTCTCCCTCTCCCACTCCCCCTGCTTGTGTTCCCTCTCTCACTGTGTCTCTCTCTGTCAAATAAATAAATAAAATCGTTAAAAAATAAAAAAAAATAAAACAAGCAAGCAAAAACAAATAAGATTTAATGTCTGTGGAAACATTCCTAAGGATACACAACAAATGAATATTTATTCAAGATGATCTAAAATTCTGTAAAAACAATGAGTCTGTGGTATTTGAACTGAGACATTCATTCTCCTTCAACATTCCCAATTCAGCGAGATAGAAAATCCACTATACAGTGGTGCAGATGAGAGCACAAGGATCCCTCACTCCCAACTCCCAGTGGTAGAGTTACCTTCCCAGGAGGGACTGGAGTTGTGCATTTCTCATCCTGCTCCCAGGTACTTGTTGCTAAGGTTAAATTCCTGGCCAGTATGGTCCCAGAGGTTTCTTCTTCCACCAAATCACTTCTGGGTTGGAGGCTCCACCTTGGGCACCATGCTGCTGAGAATACTGGTACGCTATCATTTTCACCCCAGCTGAAAGGAAGTATTTCCATAGTAGGAGAGGGCAGCTGAAAAGACTTGAAGCTTCTTTCCACCCACCCCACTGATCCTTCAACTCCCAAAATGGGGGTGTCAGAGAGAAGTGGGCCATTGTCCCCACACCCAGGTCAAGAGCACTGGCTCAGTAATTTTGCTCGGGGGAAGCAGAGAACTTGGGAAGACAAACTTGGGAGTACCTTGCCTGCGGCAGAACAAATATCAAACACCATAGGAACCCAAGAAGCTTGAATATTTTTGGTTCAGGCAGTGGAGGATTTGCCCCAGAACTTTGTTGAAAGCAATATAATTCTGGAACTCTCTCCTCAAACCCCATGAATGGTCTCTTTAGTTCTCCGTAGGTGGAAAAACTCACCAACTCCCAAATTCTCTCTGGCCAGGAATGTGTTAAATGGGTCACGACCCTGGAATTCTGTAATCGGCTTCATGTTCAGCTCGTGTCAATTGGGGGGGAATCACCCTCTAACAGGTGTCAGCTCCAGTCAGCTCTTCCTTCCATTCGTTGTAGAATCTCCCTTGTTCCTCATGGAACCAGGAGCACAAACATATCCTAATCCCAAACAATGACTGTCATCCAGGCTCTGTAGTTCCCCGTGGAGTCACATGCTAGTTTTTGGGAGCAGAGACAGGGAACTAGTAGATCAACAACCAACAGTCCTAACAATGGGAGCATTTAGTAGCCTTATGGTAAAATCCACTCAACATTCACTCTACAAGTATTTCCTGGAGCAGCTGAGGCAAGGCACTTTGCAAAGTTCTGTGAAGGATATAGTGTTGAGTCATTCATACCTAGATTGTAGACAAGTGGGCCAGGGTGATGAGACTCCTCAGGTCAACCATTCCCTCCTCATAGAGGTCTCTCCATATCTCTCAGTTTTAAAGTAGTCCTCCATCCCAATATCACTCTTCTATTTCTCTTTTGTCACTCATGATGTTTTAAAAAAATAGATATTTATTTGATCAATATTTAATGAGTGCCAGTTTTTTTGACAGGCACTGCATTAAACAATGGGGACACATATATACCAAAAAAGAATGCATTCCTGTTCTAGAGGATCTTTGATCCTAATAACCAGTACTTTAAAAACAAGAACAATGAAAACCCTGAACAATATAGGTTGAAAGGAGGGAGTGCTATGGAGATAGGAAAAATTAGAGCAGATGAGAAATAGTGGGAGAGTAGAATGAAAGCAGTTTTGCAGTACTAAGTAACATGGCTGGGAGAAGTCTAATGAGTCATACCAGATCAACCAATTCTTGGGTACATTTTATTTATATATTTTCCCCTGGGTACATTTTAGAGCATACAGGAAACATTCCAACCTCCTGTTGATGGCCTACAAGGCACTACACAAGGTTTCTATTTATCTCTCTGATTCATCTTGTCCCACTTGAACGCCTACAGATGCAGCTCTGGCCACACTAGCCTTCTCGCCCTTCTTCAGGCACCCAGTGCTCCCCCACTTGTTTCCTTTCCTAGGTGTTTTCTGTGTGAAACACTGTTCCCTTAGATAGCCACTGGGTGACTCATTATCTGAGCACAGATGTTGAGGAGGGGAAATGATTATTGAAGAAAGTTTATTCTTACAGATCTCTAAACTCAGGATGCAGAGCACATGATGCAGGGCCATGTGAAGATCAGAATGGATCGGGAGGCAAAAGTGGAGGACAAAAAATGGTCCAGAACTTTTCTATTTAACACAGGAAAGGCGAGGCAGGGCATGGGAGACAGCTTAGGATTGGCTATTTTGAATACTATTGGCAGGCTTTAGGAGAGAGGAAGGCCCTATTTCTCTGGTACGAGGACCTGGGATGATCAGCACAGAATATTGTCTCCCGAAGTTGGAAGAGCCCGGAAGAAGGGGGTGGTTCCCATTAGGGTTTTCAGGATTGTCTCATTTGCATATGAAAGGCAAGTCCTCTATCAGGAGTTTCCTATCTCTGAGAACTGGTTATCCCAGGAACTGAGAGCCTCCCTGCAGTGAGCAAGGTCCCAAGTTCAGAGCATCAAGAATACAGATAAAAGGGGCGCCTGGGAGGCTCAGTCGTTAAGTGTCTGCCTTCAGCTTGCGTCATGATCCCGGGGTCCTGGGATCAAGCCCCGCATCTGGCTCCCTGTTCAGTGGGAAGCCTGCTTCTCCCTCCCCCACTCCCTCTGCTTGTGCTCCTGCTCTTGCTATTTCTCTGTCAAATCAATCAATCAATCAATCAATCAATCAATCTGAAGGAAAAAAAGAATACAGCTAAGAAATTACAGTTAATACACTGTGACATGGGTAGCTACAGCAGGGTTTTAAATAGAGGGGTGATGTCACTTGATTCATGTCTCAAAAAGATTACTCTGGGTGCTAGATGGAAGTTAGATTATGGAAGGGGCATGAAAGGGGTAAGGTCTGTTAGAAAGTTCTGACTGCATTCCAGATGGGTGAGGACGCTGACTTAAGGTAGTGATAGGGAGGTGGTTTATCACAAAGTACAAACAGTTGATCAGAAGGGACAAGTTATCAAATTAGTAGAGAAATATGGATATGAATGTAATGGTTTCACAGTATGGATTGTTGTTATTTTAACCTACCCATACCCCACATTGCCTCCTTCATATGGTAAGCAGATTTCTGACGATACTGAAGTGCAACTTCACAGAAATGCTTTACTACGTAGAGATGCTCAGGCAGACATCACTGTTCTGCTGTCACAGAGCCTAAGCCAAGGGCCAGCACGGTGGACTGTGCAGGAAAGTGTTCATTGAACAGGCTTTGGCTGCTCAACTGCTACACATCCCAAAGCTCTGGCCCCTGACTAGCTCCAAGAAGACAACCTGAGTCCTTGAACATCTGGCCTGGTAAGAGTGACTTTAGGCCTGTATCTGCAGGCCCCGCTGCATCAGTCTGACCAGGTAATTTATGCTAACAGTGTGACTCACAGAGAATGGTGGGTTTTGTATGCCTGAGGCTCTGAGCCACACCGTATGTTTGCCTTCTGCG